TCCTCTTGGAATGTTGGGTGGAATTCTCAAGTGTTCAGTAGCTTCACGGCTTCTTAGTGGGAATGGTGGTACTTAGATTTTTGAGAAATTACGTGGTTCTCATGGTCTGTCCTGAGAAAGCTATTAAATCCGTTTTGGTAAGCTGGGCCTCATCTGAGCCCTTGTTGGGCCAGGCCGTGGGGGTGTTTGGGAGATTTGATGGCCAGCTGTGTAACACAGCCCTCTGGGACTGGCAATTTCCAAACTCTCTCGGACGAAGCTGGGAGGGAGCTCCGTAACGAGTGATGCAATGTTGGAGTTACATGCATTGGCAGTTGCCAGTGTCCAACAATAAACACCAAGAACCGAGGGAAACTTAGAACTGAGTATTTTGGCCTAAAGCCACTGACACCCTGCCAGACAGATAGTAAGCATTCCATAAATGGTAGATTGCGCTGAGTTGGGGTAGAACATGTTACTTCACTTTGAAACACACTGACTTTACTCCTATGAGATATGGTAATGTCTGTCCCCACCGAACCTGTTGGTTAAGTATTTCCAAAGATTCACTGTTCTAAAATTAAAAGTTATTATTTTAGTAGAGATTTCTTGACTTATAGCTGGCTTGAAAATACTCGTTCTATGAACATGTTTCCTCAGTTACCTTGGGATACATTTGGATCTAGTGGGAAGTAGCGTTGCTCAAAACAAGTGGAGTATTGGGATATGGGAACTTTCAGGGATTTTGTGCAGCTGATATGGGTGTCTGCTTTTACCTGTCTCAAAAACTGTTGGGCCAAAGCCACATCATCCATACTCTAGGGAATAGGAGTTTGGAACCCCCATCATAGCCTGTTCATCTGTGCTAAGAATCCTGGTCCTGCCTTGAGTCATCATGTGGTTCTCCTGGGAGGGAAGGGATGGCACCTCTTCTCTGTGCTAGAGTCTCAGTTTTCACACAACACAAAGTAGACAAGCTCACCCCTGGTGGAACCCTCTCATGCCAGATGAGGGTGGTCATCCCGTAGCATGACCCAGCTACACTTGGGCATGAGCCAGATAGCCCTACCTTTAGCTTACCGCCCGTCAGGACTCTGTGGAGAGCAAACAGTGATTAAGGAGAATTTCCTGGAACATTATACAGCCTCTTGGCTCTTCAGCAGTATTCTGCTTCTTCAGAACTTCTGTTACTGAGTTGTGATTTTCTTTTTAAATCAATTTTCAAGAAGAAACATCCATGTGAAATGTGTCACTGAGCCCATGTGGAAGGATATGGTCCAGAATATTGCTTATCATATCACAGTGACCTCAGAGGACCACTGGAAATTTCTGTCTGATCTTGGTACCAAGAACATTCATCCTTCTTCTGAGCAATTGATTAGGAATTGTGAATTATACAACTGCCATGTTTTCTCAATTTGAGTTGGCTGTTATAAAGCTTACTATAAATGCAACTGGCTGGGTAGCTTGATAGGGTGTGCATGGTTACTCTTATTCTCTCTATCATCCTTTGGGTTTCTTTTGGGTTTTTTGAGGTTAGTAATTTCTTCTATTTTAGATTATGTATATATATATTTTTAAGATTTTATTTATTTATTTTGGAGAGAAAGAGTGTGCATGCATGAGCAGGGGGAGGGGCAGAGGGGGAGGGAGAGAGAATCTCAAGCAGACTCTGTGCTGAGCATGGAGCCCAATGTGGGGCTTAATCTCATGACCCTGAGATTATGACCTGAGCCGAAACCAAGAGTCGGACATTCAACTGACTGAGCCACCCAGGCGCCCCTAGATTATACATTTTTGAAAGTCACTCACTACTGAATCCTTTGTTGAATAAAGTAATGGTTAAAAAATATGTAAAAAAGATGACCAGTGAATTTTCTTTAATTTCTGAACCATGTAAAATTTTTCAGTGCCCCAGATCCATTCATCCATCTATCCAATACTGATTTTTAGACTAAGTATGAATACTAAAAACTAATTTTTTTTGGTGCTTATTACATTTAAAATTAAAATTCGGGAATCTGACTTGTTCAGGATTTTGATCTAAGACCTCTATAGCCTCCTTCCTTCTCCTCCTCATTTTTAAGGTTCAAGGTAAGGGGGAACTTCCTGATTCTCATTAATTCACTAACTATGGAACAGTTTGGGGCACTGAAGTCATGATGAACAGAGTAAAAGTTAACATCCTTAAGTAGCATTTTATAGTTTTTGTGTAACGTTTCATGTTGATTATCTGTCTTTTAACAATCATTTTAGGTAGGTAAGTAAGGTAGATAATCTTACATCCTCATTTTTCCTGTTGAGTTTCAGAATAGATCATTTACTTGCCCAAGGTCACATAAGTAAGAGAGCCTGGTGCAGGAGCTTGGGTATTTTGAGGGCAAGTACAATATCCCTTTCTCTGTATATTTTGGTTTCTGGAACTTTCAGGGACTTAAAAATGATAGGATGCTCCTTGGGAGTGTTTTTTGAAGGTGAAAAAGAAAGTTCTGGTCTGGCAGACTTTTTAGGAGAAGCTATGGATCAACTGTCACGGACACAGTATTTCTGACATCAGCTCACCTCAGACTAGAAGGTTGGGGCCATGGGACCCCTCAGCCTTGTCAATTTTTGCAGGTATATGAAGCCGGAGATTAGTTTTGGTAATTCCTTCCCCCCACCCCCAGCATGCACACTTCCCTGTGAAAACTGCTTGACACCTGACACAGCAGTGGACTCCAGGAGTTGATGATGAATCAGAATGAGATTAAAAAACATGGTACATTCAGCGTTCAGGCCCTGTCATTGTAATGCAAGCGGGCCCCTGGTATTGCCGGATTGCGTCAGAGTGGTGTGTGTGTTGTGACAAATCGGGTGGATCACATCTTCCAGCTGCATCAGTCGATTCCCTTGTTGCCCCGCAACAAATTTAAGGTGACTCGTGTCATCCCACTTATAACAGGGACCCAATTTCAATGAGTTAGGCATCCTGTTTTCAGGAAGCCCCAGTAACAGCGGCCTTCCGTAGAGGACTTCTTTCAGTTTACAAATGCTAAGTAAGGTGAAATCATAGCTAACGTTTATTGCAAACTGACCACAGGGTAGGCGTGAAGCTAGTCATGTAACATACATGATCTTCTTTAGTGCTCGTAATAACCCAGTGGTTTAGGAACTATTCTGTTGGAGAGGGGTGATATGTAGAGTTTGCCCCCAAATCACCCTGCAGGTGACTGGTGAGGCCAAGATTTGACCTGATGCATGCAGTAGGACTGAGGCTCACACCCCCAGCACTGAGCCTGATGCCTGGCTGCCTTCCGTTGAACCTGAATTCTTTGCAGTTCTCGAAGAAAACTCAGAGTACTGTAATCGTTCTCGGGTGCCATGGTGGAGCTAACCACTCCAGGCAAAATGAGTGCTTCTTGGCATGTTGCAACCACAGTGTATCTGCTGCTTGCAAAAGAACACACGTGAGGCTCTTCATTCGTCCATGTCACGGGTCAATTCCGCAGCCGGGGTCACGGGAAAAAATTTTCCCCCACGCCCAGATTAGACAAAAATTCTACCAGATACAACTCAATTTTGGTTTCCTGCAATGTTTTATAAATAATGCCCCATAACTCTCATCTTCTTCCCCACCTTGTTCTTCTACTCAGGAATTAGAAGGCTATAGATGGAGAAAACTTGTAGTTCTGGTAGCTAGAATACATATTTCTTTTAAAGTCTAAGAAAATGTGTTATCAGCTTCTGTGGTGCAGGTGGAAGGGCAGCCGTCTGCAGGCCCCCATTTGCCAGCAAGAATCCAGCCTGCAAATTATTGGCAGAGGGCACTGTAATGAGTCCATTTCAATATAAATGGGCTCTTGCTTGTTAATTTCTGCCAGTTCCTAGGCAATTCAGGAACTGCTTTGAAAATCTGAAAATTCGCAGAGAACAGCTTCAGGAGGATGCCTAGGAAAAGAGAGAGAACAGGCTAGCAATGGGGGAATTATGGAAAGGGCACGCATTGTAGGGTAATAATGGGGTATTGCTGAGGATGCGTGCTTCCTTCCTTGAAAAGCGTGAGTCACCCACTTCCGGTTAAATAGCACGTTTTCCGAGATAAGGAAGAACCACAACTTCACTGGTTGTTCTGTGCTTTGCGGATGTGTGCATTTATTTATTTACTGCCTCTGTGGGCTGCCTTCCACAAAGTAGGCAGTTTTCTCCATGTTTCTGTTCAAAGCGTTGGGTGCCCCGGGTCCTCACCTTGCTGGAACCCCCCAGCAATGGGTGGTCACGGTGGGTAGCCCCACAGAGGACGAGTGTGGGGAGGAGGGTGATAAGGTGCAGCCCCCCACCAAGGAACCCCCAGACTCTCTTCCTTTCTTCCTTAGTATTTGCAACTTCATCTCAGAAGGCAAGCTTTTTTTTTCCCCCTTAAGAAAAAATATTATTCATACTGCTTGTTCCTGGAACGTCCTTGTCTGTTTATCCTCTGTGTTAAGTAACAGTTTAGATATTTCACTAAATTCTTTTCTGTACGTATTCTTCACAAGTTGCCTCCTCTGAATTTGATGTTTGACCCGCTGAAAACGTGTACGTGATGAGTTCTGTGTATTTGGTGTTTTGTTTTACCGTCTTTTAACGTTTTCTTCAACTTCTGTCATAAATGTAGCTCTGCTTTGGTAGTAACTGAGACTCTTATTTCCTTTTGTTGATTATCTCTGTTCATTGAGACCTTTTGAAGATGAAGAGGGAGCCATGGAAATCATTCCATAGTAACCTGTTTCTGTTAGCCGCTGTTGTTCTCCATAGCAATAGGGGAAAATGATAACTTAGTCTGTAGGACTGGTTCTTACCATAAATATAGATATGCTTGCACATATTTATGTATCTCTATCCCTGCACTTTATACCTGTAGCTAAAGGTTGCACAGTTTGATTTGGGGTTTGCTGTCACACACAAAATGGATGTTGGAGAATTGAGGAGAATGGGCTCCCTGGAGAAGGCCCATTTTCTGTGTTCTGGCTGACAACTTCTTTTCTCTTTTCCGTCCTCTGCAGGTTTTTGGCACATCCTCCGAGACTCAGATGAGACCATGATGGCCTCCCCGAGGGGCGGGTGCTGATACCTCTCCCGAGTCCCTTCCACTGTTCATCCTGACGCCATTCCCAATCTCAGTATCTAAATGCCACAGTGCTCTTCGGGCAAGTTGGGTTGGGAACCACTGTTGCCTTGGAAGGTAGGTTTGTATATGTGTAGTTTTGAGCCCGTATACATCCGCATGAATTGATGGAAATGCTTCCAAAGTGGTGGGACAGATACATTTTAGTGTAATTGCAATTGCTGGGTTGCATGTAGCTCGTGGGAAAAAGAATTTGGAACCACTTCTTTGGATTAGGGTTACACCCATCTAAGAATTCAAAAGCATTAGCATTAAAATTTAGAAAAGAAAAGGAAAGCCGGTACCTATGAGATCTTTTCTCCCCCTGTGAATTGCCCTCAGGGTCTTTTAAATTTATCCCTGAGCTTCACCATTTTTATATTGGATTATGTTTGAAAAAGACAGAGCTATAGCTGCAAAATCTTAGCTCCAAAACAATGATATATTTTGTTTCTGGCTTGGATAATCTTTAAAAAGCAAAATAAATACAGTTAAAATAATAATCTTTCTAAATCAAAGATCATCTTTTATTTGCAAAACTTTCCTGTTTAGTCTCTTGTGTTAGGGGTATTTGCGTGTGACTTGGCAAAACACTTTTCATGGGTTTGTAAAGATTTAGCAAAAACTTTCAGAACTTTGTCTCGGTTTAATCTGAGCTCCCCCCCTACCCATTACCCCACCCCTGTCTTCAAGCTCAGCCTCCAGTAGAGAAAAAACAGGCTTGAAACCAAGACCTCCCACTAGAAGCTAATTTTAAATTTGCAATCTGTTGTCTTGTGATTTTCGCTTCAAATTTAACTTTGAAATAAATACATTTCATCCTTTCTCCTGCAGATTTGGAGGTCTGTTTTCAAGTCGTAGAAGGGTGATCATTATGTTTATTTTAATAAGTTTTTAAATACCTCAGGGGAGTGAAATATTATATTATTAATGATTACAATTTATATGCATCATTAAATGCCTTATGCTTGGCTTTCACAATGTCCTTACCGATGACTGAGAAACCTTGCTTTAGTAGTTCACTTTTGACTTGAATGTGATATGAATTGGGTCAGCTTGGGCCCCCTAATGAGCTCTAATGTTTTATATATTTGAAGAGCCCGTGTTAAACGGGGTCTGCATGAGGAGCACTCCCATTGAGGAGAGCTGTGTTAAGACGTTAGTATATTTAAGTAACCAAGGCAGGGATGGGTAAGGCATGGTCCCTGCCCCTGGGCCATTATAATAAGGCAGGAAGGGGGTCCATACAAAGCAAGACAAGTGTGTCAGTGTGCAGATAACCACGCAGCAGACGTCATGTGAAGAGGTCAAGCAAAGTGCTGTTGGAATGTAGAGAAAGCATGATTAAATCCAAGCTAGATAGTATTTTCTTTACCTTAGGTAATTTTTCCCAGCCATCTGTTTTGAGTTTGGGTTTGGTGTCGTTTGTTGTAGCTGTCAGCATAGTGCCCACATCCTCACTCTCTTCAATTATCCAAAAAACCCAGGGACTTAAAACACGTTAACATGTTTTATTTATTTTTCTTTCCTTAAAATGAATTACAGGTTTAGTGCAGAAACTTTAGAAAATACCAAAAAAAGGTTTAAGTTTTTGAAAAATTGAAATTACCCACAATCACTCTATCCAGAATAGTTGCCTTTAAAATTATTACAGGTCTAGCGTGTGTGTGTGTGTGTGTGTGTGTGTGTGTGAGTGAGAGAGAGAGAGAGAGAGAAAGTGAACATATTATTAATATTCCTAAAGCAAATTTTAACCTGCTCAAAACCATTTTGTTGGATGTGCATCTCGAATGTTTTTACTTCTGAGAATAAGAAGAGTTTTGCTCCAGTGATGTTTGACCCTACAGTAGAATGATCTTTTTTGATTATCTACTTCTGGACAGGGCAAGCCTTGGCAGGCTGACCCACAAGGCTGGGCTTGGATCACAAAGAATGGGAAGGCTGGAGAAAGGGTGGATCTCTCTGCTGTCTGTTTGGGGGACTGCTCCAACTGCTGGTCTCATCTAGGGAATTCGAATTCCTGGACCATAAAAATATAGGCTCCTTAGTTCTCAAGGTGATGAGGTGATTTCCAGTTTCCTTTGTATCTTCTTCTTTCTCTCACTCTTCCCTCTGAACAATCTGAAGTTATAAGAGTATTTTTCTTTGTTCCTCTCTGCCCAGAGACCTTGACCATGGGGTGGTTTTCTATTTTTTTTTTTAAATTTTATTTATTTATTTGACAGAGAGAGACACAGCGAGAGAGGGAACACAAGCCGGGGGAGCGGGAGAGGGAGAAGCAGGCTTCCCACCGAGCAGGGAGCCCGATGCGGGGCTCGATCCCAGGACCCCGGGACCATGACCTGAGCCCAAGGCAGACGCTTAACCGACTGAGCCACCCAGGCGCCCCATGGGGTGGTTTTCTATTAACTGGAATGTTTTCTCACGTAATACGAAGAAAACGTAACATCAGTGTGATTAGAAACACAGCTTGCATGATTTATCTTGGATCATACAGGTTTTGCCTTTCTTTTTTATTTGTGTTCTGTTTCTCTACTCCTATATAATAATTGATGTTCATAATGATTTTGTGTGGACATTGCAAGCAGTTAAGCTTCTCATTTATTTCAAGAGTGCTTACCTTTACTCAGGGAGCATAGTTATAGTAGCTGCTTTATTTTATTTTAGTTTTTGGAGAGGAAATTCCTAAAGAAAAACATTTTACTTTTTTTTTTTTGAGAGAGAGAGAGCGCATGCGTGTGTGAGCGGCAGGGAGGGGGCAGAGGGAGAGAAGAGAAGAGAGAGAGACTCTTAAGCAGGCTCCATGCCCAGTGCAGAGCTGGACATGGGGTCTCTCTCATGACCCTGAGATCATGACCTGAGCCAAAATCAAGAGTCAGACGCTTAACCAACTGAGCCACTGGGCACCCAAGAAAAAAATTTTAATATTGAAGAATTTTTTTTTTTCCCATTTCATTGATGAATTTGGCTGCACCTTGCGTACATTTCCTAGCATGAGTCCCAGAACACATTGGCCTACAGTTTCAACCATGTAAGAGCTGCTTTAAAAGGCTTTGTGTGCTATTCCAACATCTGGGTCACTTTAGGATTGACGTCTATGGATTGCCTTTTCTCTGGAGAAGTGATTAGAATTTCTGGGTTCTTTGGAACGCACTGTGGACATTTTAAGTATCATATTGGGAGACTTGAGGTCCTGTTAAAATCATCTGGAAAATGATGGTTTTTCTTTTTTGCTGTTTTAGCAGGTGGTCAACCTGCTAAGTCCAGATTACAAGTTGGGTTTCCCTTTTGGTGGATGATGACTCCATCTCTCAGTCTTGGCTGGATATCTTTGGATTTGTCCCACACATGGGCCACCTGGTTGGCAGTCTGGGAGGTGGGCTGTGGTTTTATATAATAATTCAGTTCCCAAAGCCTCTGCTGTCTTGCTTGGGGTCAGTCCGAGGCATGTGCATCTGAGGGGGATGAGCCTGGGACTTGTGTGGATTTATACACAGCATTGGTGGATTTGCTTCTCTACCTCTCTTTCCTCTGAGATCCCCCTCACTCTTTGGGTGGCAGGGACCACTCTTCTTGGTTCTTTGGCCAGAACAACGAGGTGTGTCTTAGGAGTTTTCGCTTGCCTGTGTCAGAGGTGTACTGGGAGGTCAGAGGTGTACTTTCACGTAAGACTGGGAGAGAAAACCAGGAAACCCACTCTTGGATGAAGTGGCTTCTTTAGATTTTTGACTTCCCCACACAGCATGCTTGTGCTTACACTTTGGAATCTTTGGGTAGTTGCTTTTTTCTTTGGTCCCAAGTTTTTTAGTTTTTTATCAGTCAGAGAAAGGTCAGTCCTAGTGCCTGATTCCATTTGGCTGGCATCAGATGTTGGCCATTCAGTTTCAGTTTCGTTTACTACTGTATTTAGACAGAAGCACCATCCCTAGTTAATCAGCTCTACCTCTCTGTTTAACCTCCCTTTGGACCACTGGTCTGTACTTACTTTGTATTTCCTGATAAGAGATGCTAGATGATTCTCAGTGCATGCTTATTTTTTTTTAAAGATTTATTTATGTATTAGAGAGAGAGAGAGAGAATGGGGGAAGGGGCAGAGGGAGAGGGGAAGAGAAGATCTCCAACAGACTCCCCTCAGAGCAGGGAGCCTGATGTTGGGGCTCGACCCCATGACCCTGAGATCATGACCTGAGCTGCTTCACCGACTGAGCCACCCAGGTGCCCCAATGCATGCTTCTTTTTTATTGCCTAATTTGTTGAGACTATATTAGAATGTTTTAGATGGCTTTCGGCTGTAAAAACAGATTTAAAATGTTTCATTTCGAAGAACTCTCACTTTTATTTTTTTGAGAGAGAGCGAGAACGCGTGAGCGCACGTGAGTGGGGGGGGCAGAGGGAGGGAGTGAGAGAGAAAGAATTTTAAGTAGGCTCCATGCCTAGCGAGGAGCCCAACGTGGGGCTCGGTCTCACCACCCTGAGATCATGGCCTGATTCAAAATCAAGAGTTGGACACTGAACTGACTGAGCCACCCAGGCACCTCCAAAGAACTCTCACTTTTAAACAAAAATTTCATTTAGCCAGAATATTTCAGTTATTTAAAGTTTTGTTTTTTAAATTTTGAAATAATTACAGATTCACAAGACATTGTACAGAGGAAGTATGTGGCCTTCACCTAGTTTCCCCTAATGGTTGCCTCTTAAATAATTATAGTAAATTATCAGAGCCAGGAATTTGACATTTTTTTTTTTAAAGATTTTATTTACTTATTTGAGAGAGAGAGAAGGAGAGATAGAGAGCACGAGAGGGAAGAGGGTCAGAGGGAGAAGCAGACCCCCCCGCCGAGCAGGGAGCCTGATGTGGGACTTGATCCCGGGACTCCGGGATCATGACCTGAGCCGAAGGCAGTCGCTTAACCAACTGAGCCACCCAGGCGCCCAAGGAATTTGACATTTTTTTATACGTATAAAAACATTTTTTGTATATGTATAGTTCAAAGTTTTAGCAGGCTGATACATCGAAAAAAGCTGATCTTGAGAAACGACCACTTCCCTGATGAGTGTATGAACCTAATGACTGTTCTTATTGATAAAGTTCCTTAAGATACCTTTTCACTTGCTCACTGTGTATTTAACTTGGTGGATTTAAAGGAATGTACTAGGATGACCTGAAAAGTTTAACTGATCACGTTAAGAGAAAGATCATGATGTTGGAAAAAGTCACACTCCCTCTAGTGTCCTTGAGCTCTGGCCCTGAGAATCTCGATTTTCTGACCCGGTCCCACTGTCCGATGACCCCCTGCCCAACGTGCCACTGTGTCTCCCTTGCCGCCATTTTGTCTGGGTCCTCTGAGGCTGAGCACGTCTGCACTCTCCACCTAGACAATGGGGAGGGGTACCCTCTCACCTCTGAACTCTTTCCTGAACTTCTGCAGGGACAGCTCCCAAAAGAGGCAGGGAAGAACTGAGGGCAAGAATTGAGTGAAATGAGGCAGGAGCAAGGCCTTCATTCTTTGTCCAGGTAATTGGGGGTGGGGAGAACAGTGGAGCAGGGTCGAATGGTCTGGGATGAGGGACCTGCATAGGTCTTCAGGTGGAAGGGAGCCAGAGTGACGGGCACGTTGAAGACCGCTGTGTGCTCGAGGCGTCTGATGGAAGGGGCTAGGATAGTTAAGTCTGACGTGTGTTTTCTCTAGTCCACATTGGGGTATTGTTCCCTAATTTGCATCGTGGTCCCATTCTCATCTCCATTTTATTGCAGTTGTATGAGTTTCTGCATTCTAGATTAAAGTTTATTTTGTTATTCACTCATTCAGTATTTTTCCACTGAGCACCTTTACCTTTCAGGCAGTGTTCTAGGCACTGAGGATATAGCAGTAAACAAGACAAGCAAAACTTTCAGCCCTCCTGAAGCTTAGGTTCTGGTGGGGAAGGATAGAGAATAAAAAATTTTAAGTAAGTGAAATATATTGTCTGTTACAGTTGTGATAAAGGCTAAGGAGGAAAAGAAAAACAAGAGGGGTAAGGATTGAGCTCTGTGGGAGGGCCTGTCATTTTGGAGAGGTCAAGAAAGGTCACCCTGAGAAGGCAATATTTGAGTCAAAATCCGAACAAACTGGAATGTCAGCGAGGCAGTGAAGGAGGGTTGCTGGCAGAAAAAAAGCATGGGCAAAGGCCCTGGGGCAAGCTCGGGTAGCCAGAACTTAGACCTTTGAAAAGAAAGTACGAGCAGCCAGACTTGAGGTCTAAATACTGAGGGTTGTTCTTGTGATAAAATCTTGCCCAGTACCTCCTGCCTAATCCCCCTCCTGCTAAGTGCTCCCTGAAAATGCAAGTTATTTGGAACCACTAACATGCTACATAAGGAAGTGAGAGTTTTAATGAGTTTAAAACTGGTGACGATTTCCAGCTAGAGATTGAGTACTCACTCTTATTCTGAGGCTCTTCTTTTTAATTTCTGTCCTGGTTTTTGCATTTCAGTCTGACCTTAATCTCTTCTCTCATCTTGCGACAGTATGATGATCGTGTTGGTGAGGTAATACTGATCACTCACCTTTTGTTTTTGTTCCTAAAATGCATGACCGTTGACTGACTCCTTGCCTGGAGTAGAACACTTCCAGCCTCCGTAGAGGCTACCGAGGAATTGAAAGCCGCTTTCTACCCAGAAGTTGATTCCTGACTCACAGGAACAGAGTGGGTGTAGGTGTAAATTACGAACTGGGGTTTTTTTTTTGTTGTTGTTTGCAATAAAAATCAATGATGGGGTTAAACAGAATAGGGAGGTATTCAGATGATGGAAGTAGCTGACATTTTACCTTCATACAGGAAAAGGATTAGAACTTCCAATTCACCAACGTTCTGGGGGTTGCCTTTGGGGCAGAAGTTGCCCCGGAAAGGGGAGATTGTGTTTGTCGGATGCCACAAGCAATTTTAATTTTTCATGCTTCTGTTACTTCTCAGTCCCCCCACCAACGCCACATGGGCCCTTGTGATTCTTACCGACCTTTCAGGAAAAGCTTTCAAATTAAGGGGTATTTCAGCAGGTCCCTAGAAACTGATTTTTCTTAACTTGCTTCAGACTTCCTGCTGACTCTGCTTAGGTCATCCCCTGAGAATTTCTCTTGGTAGGATTTAGGAGATTTGGCACTCATCTCTAAATTCTAGTTTTGAAGATAAAAATGCCTTCTTTCCTACCTTGGCCGGCTGAAAAGAATCCTGCTACTAAAAATGCTATTAATATAACAGGCCCATCAGAGTGATGCATTGGGTGCTGTAATTCTTGAAGGCTGGGGCCATTTCCTTTAGGAAACCTCTCCTGAGGCTTTTAACTTAATTGCTTTTCTGTTGGCAGAAACAAGCCTCACCAAAAATGTGTTGTTGGGAATATGCCTGTCAATTTATATTTGCAAACTTTTCATACATGGGCTAAGAGGAGGGTCCTCCTTGTGGGCGTGAGGGCACAGTTTTGCTTTTACGTGCGGTTTCTTCCACCGTCATTCTTCCCTTCTTTTAAACTTAAGCCTGTGTGATTCTTAACGTGGAACTATGGCTAATACTTGTTCTAAGCTTTTTATTATTTCTTAGCAAAACATATAGATACATAGACACATCCAGGTATCTTAATGTGTACTTAAGAAGATCAAGAGCTCTAAGGAATTGGCCATGGCCTTTAGTTACTGAAAGGCTTATTTATTGGGGTGACTGGGTGGTACCATTGGTTAAGCGTCAAACTTGGTTTTGGCTCAGGTCGTGATCGCTGGGTCATGAGATCGAGCCCCTGTCAGGCTCGCTCTCCCTCCCTCTCCCTCCCTTCCTCCCCCTTTCCCCCTCCCTCTGCCCCTCCCACTCATGTGTGTGCTCTCTTTTTCTAAAATAAATAAATACATCTTTAAAAAAATAGAAATGCTTATTTTACTTTCAAAACGTAGCACACGATATTCTTCAGAATATAGATCACATAAATGGTTGTGTATGGACAGTTGATGTTTTTCTTTTCCCTCTAGTGAGTTGAGGTTTTTTTGTTTTGTTTTGTTTTTTGTTTTCTTTGCTTCTTAAAGATGCCAGCCAGAGAGGCATGAGCTTATTAACTGCTTTGAAATATACTTGCTGCCAGGAAAAAGGAGATTCTCCTTCTTGGAAAGTTCCCTCTGAGAATCATATGATGTGTGACCCGGTAGGGAATATTCCAGTATGGGAATAGCTTACCGTCTGGTGCCTGTATGAGTTACCTCCAAACTCACTGGAACATGAAATGGAGGTTTTTTTTCCCCTCCTGTTGCCACCGATTTTGTTTCAGCGAAGATGTGCTCATCAGAGTTGATGGCGTGTTTTAGACTGAATAGTGAGACTATAGAATGATTCTGGATCAATGTGAAGGTGTATCAGAGTCCAGGGCATTTCAAACTCTGTTGTGGTCATAGTCAATTCATTCTCTGTTTCCCCCTTGGTGCCTTTCACTGTTTCATTGTCTACCTTCCCTGGCCACAGTATCAGTTTCTGGAGAGTAGGGAATGTCTCTTTTGTTCACTGTTGTATCTCTGGCTTCTAGAACATGGTAGGTGCTCAGTATGGATTTTCTGAATGGATGACTATGTAGGTGGTTGGAAGCATCAGCTCAGGAATGTGCCCAGCTACTATATTTTCCCTCTTTTCCTTTCTGGCCACTTTTATGTGTGTATCTTAAGTGCATACAATTGGAATGGTACAGAGAAAGACCAGAGGAAGGAGAAGAAGCTAAGAGAGTCACAGTTGCTGAGCTTTGAAGGTCTTTCTCTTTTCCACTGTGGGTAACAGTCACCAGGTCAGGGAGGGAGACTGGAAAATGTGAAGGAAGGATTTGAATTAACCTGGGTAGCCCCAAAAGGCTGAATCACATTTAGTGATTTCATAATGTGAATTTCTGTTTGCAGGGCACTCTGTACCAGATTAATGTTCTCAGTTTGGATTTGCTCCCAGAAATAAACCCATTAGTCTGGTGCTAAGCAGAGAGTGGGGTTTCTATTTTGTTTTGCCCCTCTCCCTCTCCCCTCCTCCCACTTCACGCCCCCTCCGAAACGCCAAAAGTTAAGGTTTTCAGAATGCTGTGGAATGTAATTGAATTTCAGGTAAAAGCCCATTTTCTTTTTGACTTGGATGAACTAGGAAGAGTTGATCGGACTTAACCTCTTGAGTGTTTCCAGTTTTGATTGATTTTGAAATATAGATGGAGTCCGAATCAAACAGAAACATTGGGAGGGAGGGAGGCTATCAAATGTGCCTTTAAGTTTTGTGATGCTTTTTGAAATCCATATAATTTCCAACAGAAAGTCCGTTTGTGCTTTCAGGGTTTTCAGTGTCTGGAGAGGAACAGATTTTTGTTAAGTATAGTTTAGGAAGGAACCACAAGGGTTAGCAGCCCTATGGAAAGCAGCACGGCAGTGGGCCCCATGGGCAGCTACCCTCTGGGCTGAGACAAGTCTAACTCTCTACTTATCTTACTTGGGTTCTTATTTCACATCTCGGGAGGGCCAGTCTCAGTGGATGATGTTAGTTCTCACCTGCTAGCCTGTAAGAGCCCAAGCACCTGCCAGGTGGGCAGAGGGTGGTGCCCTGACACCTGCCAAGCTCTCTGCCTGCCCCGCACCCTGAGCTCTTTCTGTTAAACTACCCATTGGTGACTCACTTATCCCCTCCTTTCCCCCTCCCCCCCCCCATGCTGCAGACCATAAAACCATGGGAAACGCAGAAAGTCAAAATGTAGAGCATGAGTTTTATGGAGAAAAGCATGCCAGCCTGGGGCGCAAGCACACGTCGCGCTCACTGCGCCTGTCGCACAAGGCACGGCGGACGAGGCACACGTCCTCGGGGAAGGTGATCCACAGGAACTCCGAAGTGAGCACGCGATCCAGCAGCACGCCCAGCATCCCCCAGTCCCTGGCCGAAAATGGCCTGGAGCCCTTCTCCCAAGAGGGCACCCTAGAGGACTTCGGCAGCCCCATTTGGGTGGACCGAGTGGATATGGGCTTGAGACCCGTGTCGTACACTGATTCTTCTGTCCCTCCCAGCGTCGACAGCAGCATCGTCCTCACAGCCGCGTCTGTGCGAAGCGTGCCAGACTCGGAGGAGAGCCGGCTTTACGGGGATGACGCTACATATTTGGCTGACGGCGGCAGGGGGCAGCCTCCCTATACATCCAATGGGCCCACTTTCATGGAGACGACTAGCTTTAAGAAGAAACGCTCCAAATCTGCAGACATCTGGCGGGAGGACAGCCTGGAATTCTCACTCTCTGATCTGAGCCAAGAACATTTAACAAGCAACGAAGAGATCTTGGGTTCCACCGAAGAGAAAGTCTGCGAGGAGGCTCGGGGGATGGAACCCCGGGTGAGCCCCCGGCAGCTCAGCACCTGTCAGCGTGCCAATTCCCTGGGTGACTTGTATGCTCAGAAAAACTCTGGGGTGACGGCAAACGGGGGACCCAGGAGCAAATTTGCAGGCTACTGTCGGAATCTGGTGTCTGATATTCCCGATCTTGCAAACCATAAGATGCCACCAGCTGCCGCTGAAGAGTCTCTTCCGTACAGTAATTATAACACACTTCCCTGTAGGAAATCTCACTGTCTTTCTGAAGGTGCCACCAACCCACAAATTAGCCATAGCAACAGCATGCAAGGCAGAAGAGCAAAAACAACTCAGGTAAAGTGATCGAAATCTGTTTCAATATTTTGGAAGTGGTGCATGACTGGCAGTGCATGATTTTGCCCCTACAAGATTCCCATCTTCTAGTCAGTCTTACCCTGTGTGCCTGGTGGCTTCTGCAGCTGGTGCTGCTTCCCTGAGGATTCGCCTCAGCTCTGCTTCACCCCTCTTCCAGTTCGGTGGCTAGGGGTGGGATTAAGGAAAGAGAGAGAGAGAGAGAGAGAGAGAGAGAGAGAGAGTGTGTGTGTGTGTGTGTGTGTGTGTGTGTGTGTGTGTGTTGGGGGTGATGTGGTAGGAGTGAGAGTAAAGCTGATAAGTTCATACTAGGGAATTACTGCTTCTCCAACTCAGCTCTTGAACAGCATCTCGCTTACGCTGAGCCTACTTCCTCTCCCCGGACAGATGGGCATGGTGGGTTGTGGACTCCCGGAGTATCTTTCCAGTGCCGCAGGTGGGAAGAGAGGTTAGTCGGAAGCTCCTTTGAGGAGGCATCTTTGATTCAGGGCGGGCTCTGGCCATTGGTCAGCTTCTCTTGGAGGTTGGCAGGCTTCCTGCCTTACCAGGAGCCATTTCAATTTCCTGTTCCTTGCGATGCTGGCCAGCCCTGTCTCTGGAGTGGGGTGTAGCGGAAGGAATAACATGGGCGGGTTCCAGTTCCTACTTTGCAGCCAACTCGTTGTCTGACCTTGGGCAAACCCTGACTTCTAGTTGCTCCTCTGAAAAATGGGAGTAAAAAGGCTCAAGTTGCTTGCTCCGGGGTCTAGGGCAGGAGAGAGTGGGTGTGAAGGCATTTTTCAAGGATTTTTTTACAAGTGCGTTGCTAATGGAAGAGAGGACTCATCACCTTCATTGGTAATGATACTCCCAGGAGCCTAAGAGCCTGTTAGGCACTCCTGCATGCCTTCGTCCTTTTCTGGTCCTGCTGTTCCCTGTTGCTGAGTTCTGGGCGTCCTGGCTTGTGTTGAGGTTGGGTTCATGGTTTGCAACACATTGCTTCAGATCAGAAGTCTAGATCAAGCCCATTTGCTCTGAAGGGCATGTCAGCCTCCAGGGTGACCAACTAACAGCGCAGCAGTCAGTGGGAAAGCGGCAGGTACCCTCCGACCTGACCAGGGTGGGGATGGTACTGCTCCAATACAAGTGAAACAGGCATTTCGAGGTTAAGTTCTCTCAGAAAGGGGGTCTAAATATAATGGGCAGATGGTGGGGAACCCAAGCAGGGGTGGGGGCAAAGAAAATTGGCATTAGACTGTCCGTGTTTTTGCTGGAGAGCAGATTTTTAAAAATTGCCCAAATCTCAGGTTTCTAATTTTGTGTCGGAATTTTAAATTCTCATGTACAGGTCATCAGGGGAGAGTGTTTTTTGTTTCTTCTACTACTACTCTAGATTTCTGTATTAGAATAATGAAAACTTTCTGTGTGTTCCCTCTGGTTTATATGGGTTAAAAAAAACCGTGTTTGACCTCTCCCCTCCTTTTCTTTCCAAAATTATGTTTAACTGCCATAAAAATACACATAACATTTACCGTCTTGACCATTTCGAAGTGTGTAGTTCAGTGGCCTTGAGTACATCCACACTGTTGTGCCCCCAGAACTCTTTTCCATCTTGAAAAACTGAAACTCGGTCCCTATTAATCAACAACCTCTCACCCCCCTGCCCCCAGCCCTACCCCTGCCCCGCCCCTGGCAATCCCCATTCTGTTTTCTCTCTCCATGAATTTGACTACTCTAGGGACCTCCTACAAGGGGAATCAAGTAATATTTGTCTTCTTGTGACTGGCGTATTTCCCTTAGCATAATTTCTTCAAGGTTCATCCATGCTGTAGCCAGCATTTCGTCCTTTTTTTAAGGCCGAATAATATTCCAGTGTATGTGTATGCTGCAATTCTCTTTTACCAGTTCATCTGTTGGAGTGCAGGTTTTGCTGATGGTGTCTAAGCCAGGCATCATGGTTCCAACCCTTTCTCACCTGGCTGACTTTGGGCAAAAAGCTGTTGGATGGGGATAATAATAAGGCCTTTCGAGAAAATGGAATGACATAACCCAGTGCCTGGTCCTTTGGAAGCAGCCAGTAGGGGAGAATCCGTTAGTCATTGCCATGTTCCTTATTAGTGGCGGTATAGGAGTTGAGGACCCGGGGTGGTTTGGTGTTTCTATCAAAGTCTTCTGTCTTAGAAACAGAGTTGTTAAAAAGGTTGACTCTGCGTCTGAGGGGGTGAGCGTGAAGATGCATCTAGATGCACACCTGGATTTTTTTACCCCTTTTCTGGGGCGAGATTTACTGATGGGAATGACAGAATAACCCCGCTATGGTCCTTTTGCCCACCCTGGCGGGGGGAAGGACTACTCCTCACTGTCAGCTTGGTAAGTGGAGAGACGGGTGAGATAGGTGACCTGTCCTGTAATCTGAAAGGGGCTAAAGGCTCTGTCTTGAAGGCATGGCCAGAATGGCGTTGCAGGGCTGATACGAACAGGGGGGCTCCTGGCCTTCAGGATTCAGAGATGGGTGCATTGATATAGACGGTGGAGAAAGGAACATCACCTGTGACTGTCCCTCTTACCTGGAACAATGCCATGTAGGACATTTTATTTTTTAAAGAGGGAGTGGGGGGCGGGGCAAAGGGAGAGAGAGAATCTTAAGCGGACTCCATGCTGAGCGCGGAGTCCAACGTAGGGCTCGATCCCACGACCCTGAGATCGTGACCTGAGCCGAAATCAAGAGTCAGACGCTTCACCGACTGCGCCACCCAGGCGCCCCACGTTAGCACATATTCTGTGAGCTCTAAGAGGGGTGCCTGGCTGTATTCTGGCTCCCCAGCTCTATGCCCCACTCCCCCTGCTGGGGGACGGCTGGACCTCTGCTTCAGCCCTCGCCCCCCGCTGATGGGGGTTTGAGTCACGGCTGACTCCACCCAGAAGAGAGGGGCAGAGCAGTTTTCTCCTGCAGAGCTGTTGCCACTGTGAGCTCTCACGTGTCATTGTTACACGAAATTTCCGTCTTTGGCTTGCCGCCTTCTAAAATTGTTAATATATGGAAGTGAGATCATCTAAATGTGGTGTCTCAGAAAGTCACTGCCTAGGCAGCTTAATGTAATGCAGAGCGCAATGGACTCAGAATCCGAGGTCCATTTACATCCTGGCCAGCTCCTCACTGACCAGTGACCTTAGGCAAGTCACTCCATCTTCCGTGCCCTGTAGGCTCCTTCTCTGTCCAGGGCGAGGGACACCAGCCTCTGACAGGGCCAGTAGGGGGACCAGGCGGGCGCCCTGCACGGAAGAAGCCTTTTGCGGAGTCTATAAAATGAACGGAAGAATTATTTTCGTATTGACTTTATATGTTGAGTGAGGATCTTTAATGACTTGAAACAAACCCCAGAATTGTGCACAACACTATCCATCCACCCACGCTTCCTAGTCTCAGTTTGGTGTGTTCATCCAACGCGATTTCTTGAGAACCCACTATGTTCCAAACAGTGTATTTTAAGAGACAGTGGGTGTGGAAGCTTCCTTGAAAAGAATTCTTTTTTTGTTCTTTTTTTTTTTGTTGTTGTTGTTGTTGTTGTTGGTAAAAGTTTCTGACCCAGGGGATCTCTTCAGCGAGCTTGGATCAGAGATGTTAAAGTTCCCTCATCTGCCCTGGTGATGCAGTTGAATCTATAACTGTCAGCAATTTTACTCCCCAGAAAAAGAGTTCTGGCAGACATTTGGCCCCCAGAGCATGGCCTCTGAGCCTGGGATAAAATATGTTTTATCGGAAACAATGTGAACAACTTCATTTGATTTGAAAATGATCGAAACAGAGTTTTTGACCGTTTTTGCTGTTTTTGTATTTGTTCAGTAGTTGGACATGTTACCAAAACACGAGGCACTGGAGTTCACATGTAGGTTGAAAAAGTGACACGTAGTACCTATCTGCCACTCAGTGAGGGCTGAGGAATTATTTAACTCAATACGTTTGAGTGTGTGCGTGTGTGTGCGCACACACACACACAGCATCCATAAAAATTTGTGTTGAGAGTCAGTTTGGTATTCACTTGTTGGGAGGGTTTACCCATATCACTTAAAGCAGAGTTTACTTGCATTGATTTCTGTAGAAAGATGGAGTAGATTGCCCCTTGATTTAGTGGATGCATTATTGGTCTTTTGGACTGAACTTTACTGTCTCAATATTCCCATGGTTAACAGACGGAGTTGGGGCAGCCTGGTGTCATGTAAAGACATTCTGAAATGCAGCAGAGCCAAGCTTGTCAGTCTGAGCCCTGTTTTCTGTTGCTTATGTAACCTGGATGGATCTCGGTGCCTCTTTAATGAGGCTAATGTGAGTCTCACACAGGAGTGAGTACGAAGCTCCTGGCACACTGTCTTGCACATAGTAGAAGCTCAGTCAGTAATGGTTATTAGTTGTGATGGGACTAGTTTGGCTTCATATTTTAGAGCTCAGCCCTCCTGTATCTCAGACTTCCAGTGGGTGAGGTGGAAAGAGAAAACCGCCAACTGATGGAGCGTCTTGTAGCCAGGTTCTGTGTTTCAAAGGGAAGCTTTGGCTTGGGGCCAGTGTGCAGGACTTGTGAGGAGAGCTTCATTCATCCACTTAGGAGATGAAAGAATGGGAGCAGCTCTTACCAGGAATGAGTCAAGGAACCACAGCCTTGAGACAGCGGGGGGCCCCTACTCAGAGCCCCTTGTGGAGATGTGACACTGTTGATGGGTTTGTGTGTTTGTGCAATTTCTGATCACTTCCATGTTCCCAGAAATCCTTCACACTGTAGCGTATGGAGTCAGAACGACAGAAGGCAGAGCTATCCATCAGAGCTTCTGGCCCCTGTGGGCCACCAGCACATTCCTTTCAGCCTGATTTCCAGCTCACAGGTCACCTCTCTGTCTAGCCCCCCTCACTTTGAGTGTCTCTAAAGAGATGAGGAGACAGGGTGTCACAACTGGATTAAAATCCAGGTCTCCTGACTCACTGACCAGGGTCATTCCTCGGAAGCCCACAC